TTGGTATGTAATAATTGGTTAATTACGAATGCTCTGATCGATTTTGTATTAAGTGGTCTCTTTTATGTAAATTAAAGTATTTTGTTTTAATGAAAGTTTTAAATTCCCGGGATTTTTCTTTAAGAATCAAAGTTTGAAAAGTCAATGTGACATCTCAGACTTGTATTCGGGTCGAATATGAGTTAGGGGTGTTACACATCATAATGCCATTTGGAGTAATGAATGCACCTGCTGCTTTCATGGATCTCATGAACAAGATTTTTCAACCTTATTTGGACCAGTTTGTGGTTGTCTTTATTGATGACATACTGGTGTACTCGAAATCCATTGAAGAGCATAGTGCATATTTGAGGATAGTCTTGCAAATTCTCAAAGATAAGAAGCTTTATGCCAAATTGTCCAAATGTGTGTTTTGGCTTAATGAAGTGATTTTTATTGGGCATGTAATTTCTGCAGACGGGATTCGGGTGGACCCTCAAAAGATAAAAGCTATTATGGATTGGGAAGTTCCAAAGAATGTATCGGAAGTCCAGAGTTTCCTTGGACTTGTCGGTTATTATCGAAGATTTGTCAAGAATTTTTCAATGATAGTGTTGCGTTTAACAAAGTTAATGAGAAATAACGTACCCTTTGTTTGGACTCCTGAATGTCAAGATAACTTTGAAGCTTTAAAGGGAATTTTGACAGAAGCTCATGTATTTGTTCAACCAAAATTTGGAAAGAATTTTTTCGTATTTAGTGACGCGTGTCACAATGGGTTGGGGTGTATATTAATGAAAGAAGGGAAGGTAGTAGCATATACATCGAGACAGTTGAAACCACATGAAAAGAATTACCTCACCCATGATTTATAAATGGCTGCAGTGGTATTCACTCTCAAGATTTGGTGTCACTATCTGTTTGGAGAACGATGTTATTTATATACGGACCAAAAGAGCTTGAAGTATCTGATGACTCAAAAAGAACTTAATTTGAGGCAAAGGAGATGGGTTGAGTTTTTAAGAGATTATGATGTAATAATTGACTACCATCCTGGAATTGCTAACGTAGTCGCAGATGCTTTGAGTAGAAAGACGTCTGCAGCCTTACGAGCTATGGATGCAAGGTTATCTTTGACTGGAGACGGTGGTTTATGTGCAGAATTAAAGCTTAAACCAACATGGTTTGATCGAATTGGAGAATTACAAAGTAAAGATGAAATATGTTTAAAAAGAATAGAGCAAGTAAAAAATAAAGAGATTAAAGATTTTGAGGTTAAATCGGATAGGAATTTGTATTATAAAGGAAGAGTTGTGATCCCCGATAATGAAGACTTGACGAAAGATTTATTGACATAGGCTCATTTCAGTCCCTTGACGGTACACCCGGGTGGAACCAAGATGTACATAGATTTGAAGTATCGATATTGGTGGCCAGGGATGAAACGAAGCATCACTAAATTTATGTCTAAGTGCTTAACATGTTAATAGGTTAAAGCCGAACATCAAGTTCCGTCAGGATTATTGCAACTGTTTTCCATTCCTCAATGGAAATGGGAAAATGTAGCGATGGATTTTGTTTTGGGGTTATCCTTGACTCCAAACAAAAGAGACTCAATATGGGTAATTATTGATCGATTGACCAAGTCAGCATATTTTCTTCCCGTCATAACCGATTTCTCTATGGAAAAGTATGTGGAAATGTATATTAGAGAAATTATTAGATTGCATGGAATACATATTTCTATAGTTTCTGATCGAGACCCTCGATTCACCTCGAGATTCTGGAAATCATTAAATGGAGCGTTGAGGACTCGTTTAAATTTTAGCACAACCTTTCACCCTCAGATGGACGGACAATCAGAAATGACTATTTATATCTCGGAAGATATGTTGAGAGCATGTGTCATTGAATTCAAAGGGTCGTGGGAGAAATATTTACCACTGGCAGAGTTCGCTTACAACAATAAATATCAGTCTAGTATTAAGATGACACCTTATGAGGCATTATATGGGAGGAAATGTCGTACACCATTAAACTGGTATGAACTCAAAGATCAAAGCATGCTTGGTCTGGATTTGATTCAAGAAGTGTAAGAGAAAGTTCAAGAAATTCAACATAATCTTAAAGTGGATTTGATCGGCAAAAGTCCTATTCTGACCTTAAAAGAAAAGAGATTGAATTTGAAGTTGGAGATAAAGTGTTTCTGAAAGTATCTTCATGGAAGAAAGTATTACTATTTGGTCGGAAAGGAAAGTTAAGTCCTAGATTCATCGGGCCATATGAAGTTGTTAAGAAAATAAGACCAGTTGCATATCAATTATCTTTGCCACCGGAAATGGAGAAAATCCATAATATCTTCCATGTGTCCATGTTGCGAAGATATAGGCTTGACCCCTCTTACATCGTTGCACCAGAACAGGTAGAAGTCCAACCTAATTTGACTTATGAAGAAGAGCCAGTGAGAATATTAGCTTATGAAGTTAAACAGTTAAGGAATAAAACGGTTCCGTTGGTAAAAGTGCTATGGAGAAATCATAAGGTAGAAGAAGCCACGTGGGAACGTGAAGAAGATATGCGACTTCAATACCCCCATCTGTTCGTGCAATGAAAATTCGAGGATGAATTTTCTTAAGCGAAGAGATTTGTAACATCCTCGATACTGGGTTAGTGACTAAATTGAAAAGTTTGAGAATTTGGTGATTAAAGTAGAATAATTGAAAAGTTCAATGACTTATTTGATTTAATTGTGTATGATCAATTTATAAAGAATGAGGATTAGAAGGACAAGATGGTATTTTTATAGCAAGATAATTATTTGGGTTAGTATTATATTAACCCACGTGGAAGTATAGGAAACTAAAAACAAGTTTTCAGAGTTCTCATTCTTCATCTTCTTCATACATGAGACCCAAGCTAAAGGTAAGATCTCTTGTTAGTGAATTTCTTGATGGATTTATGGTTGATTTATGACTATTAGACAATAGTTAAGCTTAAGGGAAGTTTAATTTGCTCTAAAACAATAAGAGGATGGAGTTAGGAAGGATTAAAGTAAGGGGGTGAATAAGTGAAATCTTGATAGAAATGTATTAATTAGATTTCAAGACTAAATTTGACTTGTCATTAGTGGAATTAAGGAATAAGAAGTGTTAGAATGTGAATTAGAACATGTCAGAAATTGAGTGTGATTCTTGAATGTCATATAAAGGATAAGATTTTTAGTTTAAGAAAGTGATTATTGAGTAGGAATGAGTGTAAGTATATGTATGCAAGTTAGGGATATTAAAGGAGGTGAAATATGAAGAGTTGAGCTGAAATGTAGTGATTTTCGTGCTTAAAATGGCATTTCTGGGCTAGGGGTATCGGTACCCATTCAACAGTACCGATACCCTCTCAAATAAGAAGAATTATAGAATATCATAAGGGTACCAATACCCCCCAGTTGGGTACCGATACTCCCCAGTTGGGTATCGATACCCCCTAGAACGAAAAAATACAGAATGCCATGAGGGTAGCGATACCTTAAGTAGGGTATCGATACCCCCTAAAGGAAAAATGAAATATTAATTCCTTAAATTTGTTTAAGCTATTAGGAGTTAATTGCAAGGTTTAGGCATCTGATAATCATTTTGAAAATTTTATTTATGTAGATTCAGAGCCTAAACAAGTTCTGGAACAATTGCTCAGTAGGATCGATCGAGGGAAAAGGAAAGAAATATAGGTGAGTGCATATGCATAACATGATTATTGTAGTGTATCCAGTTCTAGACTTGTGATAAGTCTAGATTCAATACATTGATGCAAGATTCATCTCATATTATGAAACATAATGGGAATTCATACTATGTGCATTACGTAATATATTTTAAACGAATATGTATGTAAAGTTATATGGACTATGTGATGAAGGTAAGGAAATATAAATGATATGTCTATGTGATATACTATGTGAACTGAGAAAAACCCATGTTATATAAATGAGAACTATAGGTATAGTTGGCATGCCAAGAATAGAGGGTCTACGCGGTCCTTCGGGACATATATGTATTCTTTGGAACATGTATGAGGTCTTTTGAGACACATACTTGATCCTTAACATATGTATATGATCTTAATGAATTATCTATGTGGTCCTTTGAGACATCTTATATGGCACTTTGGTGCAATTCTATGTGGCACTTCGGTGCATTTATACGAGCTGTGGTGACATCATTGTGCACAACCTCACATTACTCACATACCTTAGGTTCTCAGTATGGTATCATGGGCTAATAAACTTATTACTGTGAATTCATGAATGATAAATTAATATGCTTATGTGTAAGATACATGGTTATATATATTGCATTGATTAAATACATATTCTCATTGCACTTTATCTCATTATGGCATTTTTATTGCATTTACTTGCTATTATTATATTGCCTCACTAAGTCGACGACTTAGCGTGTGATTGTTTCACAAGTAGGATCCAAGAAGTATAAGAGACAGATTAAGCAGCTGGACAACATTACTCCTGCAACTATCATATCAGAAGCAACTTAATCAGTAGGTCATTTTATTATATAAATGAATGTTGGCATGTAATCAAATGGTCAAGTTATGTATGCTCTGAGTATTTTGATAAACTTGCATTAATTAATGTATATTATCGTATTTTAGTTATATAAGTTCAAATGTTTTTATTATTTTGTTAAGAATATTGTTTTAAAAAGTCAATGTGACATCTTGGACTCATATCCGGGTTGGGTACGGGTTGGGGGTGTTACACTAGGATAACCAATGCTTGGACCAACCAGCCTCGACCGATCGGTGATCAGTGGTGCCAACACCTTCCATTTCCATTAACTGTTCTCATGCAGGGAGTACCTTTATGCGTGGATGCTCCATAAATAGATGTATATGAACCACTATAGTTTAATTTATGCCCAGAAATACCCAGCGCATGGCCAGTAGTAACAGCAAGCGTGGAAGACTTAGAACTAGGGGTGTTGACTCAACACTGTTGAGTGGATTGTTACCTGGCTAGAGCTGGAGCTGGCTGGAGCGATGGAGACTGGAGGTCTGGAGCGGTGGATATTGGAGCTTGGAGTGCATATTGCAGCCTGGGCGTGGGCGTTTTGAGGTATGGAGCCTGATTGTCTGTTAGGGATTTCAATCAGAAATAATTTGGTTTAGGGATTTTAATTTTATAAATTAAATATTTAGTTAATATATTAAAAAAACTTAACCGGATATTCGGGTAATCGGGTACCTAGAAAAATCAATTTTTGTGACCAGGGCTCGACCGGAAAGTGTCAGGTCGGGTAACCGACCCAGCCGGGTATTTTTTTTAAGAAAATTACCCCGTTTTTTTATCTAGGTCGGCTGATCGGGTCAACCGGATTGGGTAATTTTGCACACCCCTAGCAAAAACAACGTAATACCATCAATTTTAGAGAATGACTAAAATACCTTTAGTCTTATTAAATGACAAGAAAAGCTATGGTCACGAGGAAAATGTGCTAAGACACTGAAAATTAATTTTTTACTCTATTCATAATTTGTTAATTGTCTGATATACTATTGAGTGTGAAAATTACTAAAGTACTATTATGGGCTAAAATGAAGGAAAAAAAAAGGTAACATATATGAAATTATGAAAATACCTCTAGGCTTGCCTAATTGGGATTTCTAGGGTCTATGTTGATTGTGAATAAATTGTACGTCAGACTTGACGTTGACCCAATTATTATTGAGCATAAAATATCTAAAGTTAATTAAACTAATATCGTACATAAGGTTTAAAAACAATGTTGATGATAGTTAAATGCCTATTAATAGTTGTGATTTGAACCCAATGTATGACATTGCTCTTATATTGTGATCTTATGTTTGATATTAATGTTTGTTGACCGCGCAGCCTTCGGAATTATTTGAGCACATATACAATTTGACAAGCTTGATTCATTTGACAAGTTGGACAAGTTTGATAAGTTTCACTAATTTGACAGGTTTGACTAATTAGATAAGTTTACCCCATTTGACAAGATTGACATGTAAGTGATTCAATCATGTTTATTATGATGCCTATTTTAGATATTGGAAGCATGATATTTTGTTATGTGAACTAATATGTGATTGTGATATTGTAGATGGGCAAGTCGTATTACCTGATGTTCAGTAATTAATAATATGGTAAATTATATGTTTAGTACTTAAATATCATTTTTGTTTCATTTTAATATTTTTTTAAATTGTACTTGACGTTTAATTTAGGTTTCAATTTGATACACTGTCATTAAAAATTTAATGGTGATGTTGACGTCACCATAAGATAATGTCACGTCATCATTAAAAAAACTACGTCAGCAGTTTTGTTAATTTTTTAATGATGTGATACTTGTAACACCCCAATCTCAAATACAAAATACTCGAAGACCAAGATACTACGTTCGGATCACCAAAGCAACCCAACAAAATTTTCAAATATTTTAAAACATAAAAAACCATTTCATTTAAGAGAAAATATCATCAAATAGTTATACTAAAATGATAATAAAAGTAGTTATATAAAAGTATGTGGAGCTCCATCATAAGTGTCGAAATCGTCTTTCGGTTGGACCCTGGAATTGGGCTTCGTCGTGAATGAATTGGGTTAGAGTCATCGCCGATCATTTTAAAATGATATTAGATAGATCGGACACCATCTTACCTGATCTGTATTATACCAGAAACATGTCGGGTTCAAGAGTCGGTTACGGTCAAGGAAGGATTAACACCCTTGAACCTCCCTTTCAGTACCAATTAATTTATTGGTTGTCTTAATTGCGAAAATTTAAATTAAAATTAAAATTTAAAAATTCAACTCGAATTGCTTACCTTTGGTTGGTTTGAATTCCTCTAAAAGATGTTAGTTAATAAATAATAAATGAATATTAAATAAATCAAATGGAAAAATAAAACAATAAAAAAATTAAAATTTAAAAAAAGAAAAGAAAAAAAACCTTTAAAAAGTTCAGTTCCAAGAATGGCTAGGAAATTGAAAATTGCACCATATCCATAAAGAAACAAGTTCTGATGGTAAATGCTCGTCTCAAACTTGCTCTTTAAAGCATATTCATTAAAGACAGATGCCATTGATGGGATAGTAACAAAAATTAGAGTGTACATGTATGCGCATGTTGCAACCGGAAGATCAAATGAAGTAGTACCCTCTAGTAAAGACCGCAACTGGTTTATGCTAATTCCAATAAGCAACAATGCAAGAGCCTCCCACTGAAGAATAGAAAACCGCCATTTCATGATCATCTTTAACCAGATAACTATTACCAAAACCTTTAGGTTGCTAAGCATCTTCACAGTAGCAGGATTGAAATAAAGCTGCATGATGAACTTTAGGTAATTGTTAATAGCGTAAAGTAGAGCTGGAACTGCAAGAAGCACATTATTTCGAGCAGCCTGCACTAATGATGAAATTGAGAGAAGAGATTTCTCCTCAACTTTCTTCTTCCGAACCTGGAACAAGAGCATAATAATAGCGAAAGTAACTTTGGCCACCTCAGTAAGAAGATTAACGCTAAGTGGGCTAAACTTGAAACCCCCATTTGCCTTTGACATATATACCAATATAGGCTGAAAACCGACCAAAATGCAGTCACCAGAGACCAAAAGAACGTTGAGGAGACAAGTTTTGGAGGAGACCTAGCTGCGGTGCGTATCATAAGCCCTCGAAACGGTTTTACTACCGGGCGATGCTATTTTTGAGTGGCAAACACTGCATTCTATCATCCCCGCCAGCTCCTGCACCTAGCTAATAAAACTGAGTGAAGTTACGAGGAAGCGAAAGGTTAGAGATGCCGTAGATCGTGAGAGATATCGAAGCCCTCGATCAGATTCGGACAAAACAAAATATAAATCTGAAAATTAAAGGGCCAAAATGTTTGGAAAGAAAGAGTTGGGAGCTTGGAATGAGTGAGAAAAATGGTGAAAATCCATGGCTTCCTCAATGAAGCAGTTGACCACTATTTGAATTCCACGGGGTCATCATTGCTGAATTTACAGAGCCTGCTCCCCTCCAAAACCAATTTGTGTTTTTTTAAATAAACCCAGATTAAATTGGAGCCACCAGAAATTCCGTTGTATCGAGCCCTTCAAAATAGAAAGGGACTCCTCCTTTTATTCTCCTTTTTCCTCTGCAATTTGTATGGGATGAATCCCACGTTCTAGTAACTGCTCTGCATGCTCAAGAAGTGCTCTCCGCTTTATTCGGTGTTGGTTCTTTTCATGGCTTTGTTGGCCAAGTACGTGGAAGGTGGAATGGAGCCGTTTGGAACGTCGGAAGCTAGCCTACAAGGTGATGTGGCGTTGCTTGGATAGTTGGGGGTTGAATCATGGGGCCTACAAAAATAAAATAAAAATATTAATAATAATAATATAATATAATGTTTTTGTAAACCCGGACAAAAACAAATGTCTACAATAAGTATATATATATATATATATTCAAATATCCCAAAAATAATAAACGATTTAGTAACCTCAAAATACAAATGAGACCCTATGAATACAGTGCCCACTTACAAATAAGGTATTGTACTCTAAACACATGATGCTAAAAGTTCCTTGTTGATGATGCTCCTCAAACAAGAACAAAAGTTTAGTAATATGAAAATAGAAATAATTCAAAGGTTAGGCTTTACAAGCTCAGTGGTACACAACTAATCTACCATACTTCAAGCAATTCACAAATATGAGCATACAAATCAAATGTATACATAGAAATATGACATGGGTACCGAACAAACAAGTCACAAGTAACCAAATTTCATAAATAAATCGCCAAAATTTCATAAATAAATCGTCTGCATATCAAACTAGTCAAACTTATCAAATTAGTTAAATTTGTCAAACTTGTTATGTTGCACGTGTGCTCAAATAATCAGGTATCCGAATAGTCTCACGCCACTTATGGTCTTTAATCAAAAAAATCTCATGTGTCTGAATTATTTTTCACGAGTGTCACACATGACCACTAGTTAGATTAGAGCCCGAAGGCTGCACGCAAACAAAACATCAAACAACTAATTACAAGTATAACACAATGATATTCAAAGTCTTATGCTTATTTCAACTTGTAAGGTATATTATGCTTGAGCATATTTTGATCATTTAAACTTTACAAAATCATAAATCATGACTAAAATATTAAACATTCAAATATGACAGTTTACACTATCTTTAAAGAAAAATGTGTAGTTAATAATCTATAATTTTAAATCAGATTTCGTTTGTTTTATAAGAAATTAGATTCGATAATCTTTCAACCATATAAATTAAAGCTTCTAATTTAACTCGTATAATTTATGGTAAATTTTAAAAGTCATTTTCCTTGCTGTTTTTCGAAACAATATGTTGACCCTATCTTCTGACCTTTACTCACTCAAAAAATTTTAAAACTTTTAATATATAACTCGAAATAAAGAACCGTTTGTTTTAAAAAAAAAAACTTTAATGAGGTTATAGGAATATAACTCGAAATTTCGGTGATTTTTCAAAGTCACTGCTAGAATCATTTCATGAAAATTCTGCTACTCAGACTTTTTGACCTTTAACCATTAAAAATTTAATATCTCTTAGAATGCAGATCTAAATCGACCAGTTTGTTTCGGGGGAAACTAGACTGAGGCACGGTTACAATAGTATATGATTCATTTCCTAAATATTTTTGTGGAATATCTTCAAATTTTCAAAGTTGCTGCATATGCAAACAAATCTTCTAGACAGATTTTACAATTGAGTATTTGGCTTTATTTTAATCATCCTAACACATTTTTCACCGAAAGACATATAACATGTATGCAGTATCATCACAGGCATCATATTTATAAATTTTCAAGAAGTACAGAAGAGTTAGAAGGGACCACCTTGATTGAGGAACATATCTAACTTCTTAGCCTACCTCTTTAACACTTTCTCCTCTCCTTTAGTTTTAAAAGATCCACCATCTTTTTTTTTACTTCTTGACCCTTGGAAGATCAAAATTGTGAGGAAAAAAAACTTCACACTTCAAGCTCTCTTTATCTCTCGCGGTTACTATGGTAAAGATGGGTGAAAGAATGAAGACAATGTAAAAATAAATGTATAGGAAAGTTGAAAGAAAAGATGAAAGGTAAAGAATAAAATAGGGGGAAATAGGGACAAAGAAATCTTGCCCATGCCTCCCCTATTCTGCCGGCCATACTCCCGAGTGGAAAAGATTTTTTTCTAGAAAAGGGTAAATCAATCTTTAGGCCATCAACTTCCCATTACTTCACACAAATTTCTCAACATTCTTAATTACTTACAAAAAGATCCAAAACTCTTCTAGTTAATCCTAACAAATCACAAAACCAAAATAAAATATTCATTATTAACTAAGTTTAGTGCTCAAACATTGACTCAAGAAATTGGGTCATTTTAGTATCAAATTAAAACCTAAACTAAACGTTAGATATGATTTTGTAAAAAAAAAAGTTTAGGTTCCAAAACATAACAAAAGTAATAGTTTAGGTACTAAACATGTATTTTACCCTTAATAATAATGCTCTACCATTGTGATAACTTCTTAATAGAATTCTCTAAAATAAGTTGAGATGTATATATATTATGTCTAAGGTTGATATGTTCATATATGACTTGCATGCTTATTATTTATGGAGCTCATAAATATAATAGACTAGTAGTGTACTCACTGGGCTTGTTAGCTTATTATTCAAATTATTATCATTTTTAAGTTACATGTTTTGTAGATCATGATGAGATAATGATATCATTGAAAGAGTCTCAGTGAGAGTACTAGAGTACGATAGCGATAACTTATATGGGCATGTAGATGATATGTGTTGTTTCATTCGATTCATTTTAAGAATAGATTTATTATTAATTTATTTTGTGTTTGTTTTATTTTAAATTAAAGGAGCTCTAGTTTTCATAAAATTTTATGTTTTCGTATTTATCATAAATTATTCTAAAATTTTGAGTAATTCACGTTTTAATTAGAGTCAGGATGTCATGGATTTCTTTAGTGTACCAATGTGATACTCGTGTGTTGTGGAATTTGGGTTAATTTCCACCAATAATAACAAATTCACCTTGAAAACTATTATCTAGGTGACTAGTGTGAAAATGATTGTACTAAAAATCACCCCAAGGTATATTCCCAGGAAAGAGGAGGGGTCACAATGGTCCCTCTTAAAATTCACTTTCCTTAGACAAAACTACCAAGACAAGTAATTTTAATAGGACAATAATTAACAACAACTATACCCGACAATAGTAGTTTTCAAGATGAATTTGTTATTATTGGTGGAAATTAACTCGAATTCCACAACAATTGGTATCAGCGCTCTTGGTTTATTTTAGTATGCTCTGTGGTTGCAGCTTAGGCTGATCTTCCACATCAGAAAAAAATTCCTTGGGGTAATTGACATTCTGCATTGACAGTTATTAAATAGAATTTGTAGCAAATTGGCAGACGACACAAAAACATCCGCAAGAAATGCTGTGACAAATATTATATTTGCAGTGGAGATTTTTTATGGCACCGGTCATTTTGGCATGTGGCAAAGTGAGGTTCTAGATGCCCTATTTCAGCAGGGTCTAGACATTACTATTGAAGGAAAGAAACCAGATGATGTTGAGGAGAAAGAATGGAAGATGATCAATAGATTGGCATGTGGTACTATTTGATCGTGTCTTTCTAGAGAGCAGAAGTATGCATTTTCTAAGGAAACTTCTGCAAGTAAATTGTGAAAGGCACTGGATCTGATACCACTTCAACTATGTATCAGATACCACTATGAATGATCACATTACTAACTTTAATCAGCTGGTGACTGATCTGATGAATATGGACGTGACTTTTAAAGATGAAGATCTGGCTCTGATGTTGATGGGATCACTTCCTGATGTGTTTGAGTATCTTGAAACTACTCTACTTCATGGGAAGGTTGATGTGTCTCTCAGTGAAGTAACTGATGCCTTGTATAGTTATGAATTGAGAAAGAAAGACAAACAAGAAAATACAAGTGTCGAATTAGAAGCTCTTTTTGTTAGAGATCGTTCGAAGAGTCAGAATAAAGGAAGGAGAGGGAGATCGAAGTCAAATTCTAGATTGAGCAAAGATGAATGTGCCTTTTGTTGAGAAAAAGGGCACTGGAAGAAAGAATGTCCCAGGATAAAGAATAAAGACAAACCTGAAAGGGGAAAGGTTGTCTCAGAATTAAATGTGGTCGAGTATGATGATACAGATTCAGATTTTACATTCGCTGCTACGCCATCAACCAGCTGTTCTAGTTCATGGCTGTTAGATTCAGCTTGTAGCCACCATATGACCCCCAATAGAGAATGGTTCTTTGATTTTAAAGAACTAAAAGGTGGAATTGTTTACACAGCAAATAATTCCCCTCTTGACACACTTGGGATTGGTTCAATTCGCTTGAGGAATCAAGATGGATCAATCAGAACCTTAACAGGTGTCCATTATGTACCAGATTTAATGAAAAATCTCATCTCTGTGAGAACCTTAGAGTCAAAAGGTTTAGAAGTGAGGGAAAAGATGGGATTATTTGGATTATCTCTGGTGCACTGGTGATAATGAAGGGAATCCGGAAAAGAAACAATGTGTATTACTTTCTGGGTAGTATAATTGTTGGGACAACAGTAGTGGCAGCTTCTACTGATGAACAGGAGTCATAAGCAACCAGGTTATGGCATATGCGCTTGGGGCATGTTGGTGAAAAATCCTTGAAATTACTGATAGATCAAGGATTATTGAAGGGTGCTCGGGCTTGCAAATTAGCTTTTTGTGAGCATTGCATCAAAGGAAGAAGACGAGGGTAAAATTTGGAACAACAATCCAAGATACTAAAGGTATTTTGGATTATGTTCATT